AATGGACGAGGAAATTAAATTTTTATATGAATGACGTATCTAGAATTTCATGGATCAGTAATATGACCAATTTAGCCTTTTGGGTAAAAGAATGAAGGAAGCAGGTATTAATTCTTAACAAAACAAATCATGGTAAGTTGAAACCCGACAGATTCTATTTTTTTTTGTTAAAAATGAAAACTGGTATTTCTTATGCAGGTAAACAAATAGATCTAAACTCAAACGGAAAACATTTGTTAAACGTTTTAAGAATCGGACTTTTTAATAAGTAACAAAACAAAAGATGGATACAAGGTTAAGCAAACATGTTCAGGACAAAACTAAACAAAATGGCGCCAAAGCTTGCAACCAATCCAAAGGCCTCACTTGTTGGTTGGATTTTTGTTGTTGGCTCCGGAACCTTGTTACACAGTTTGCCTTCACAACAGTCAAGTGAACAATCGGTCACCATGCCCGTCGAGTTGACCAGTTTGCATGCTGTAATAAAAAGAAAGGAAGATTTTCAATTATGAGTGTGCTGTGCTCCACCTTTCCATCTCCTGGCTTTTTCACCCCAATTCAACAATCAAGGTTAAGTTTGAAAACTCAAGTAAGGCAGGCAAAAAGTTGATCCAAGTTATAGCTAGGCACGGCAATTTAAAGCAGCTCAGTCACGGAATTTTAAATTATTTTGACCAACTATCAGCTTTAAATTAAAGGAAATTGATAATTGTAGTTTACCAAGAGAGAAAAACACATAAGAGATTATAATAAACCATAAAGTAACAAGGATGGCTAATGATGGAGAAGATGCCGGAAGATCCACAGGGGTGGTACACCCAGGAAAATTGGGTGAGGGTGTGCGGCCTGCTTCCCAAAACCCTTACCCTATTGATGACCAAAATTTGCGATTTTCCGCTCCCTATCTAAAACCTGACCAAAAATTTGATACCTTATTTATGACCGTTGTGGCTGGCTCAGTTGCCCTAAACATAATTTTATAAAGGACTTTTGTTGATGGTCTTGTCGATAATGATGAAAAAGTAGGTTATTCTATCCAATTCAGGACTAGAGGGCAAAAATCATACCCTATTTATGATCAAAACGGCTGAAAAAGCCGCACATACCTACAGGTATATAGCCCATATAAGGAAGTACTCCCCTCTGGGAGATTAACACGCATTACAAACGAGGAACTTGAAAAATTTAGGCTCAACTTTTCAAGATGCGCAAATCGTGACCTTTACCTTAAGGGTAATGCCTTCATGAGAAACATCATCAAGCATAATCGACTAAACAATAGCCAGCGAACAAGCTCCGGGCCAGCGCGCCACCCTGATTGCTTCGTTCTCCGAATCCTGCACTTTCGCGCTCTTTGGCTCGCTTTGCTCGCCGAATTTTTCACCGTCCTCGCCGGGAGCCTGTTCGCAGGCTAACTGAATGTGTAGTAACCATTCTTGCACTTACTATTGAACTGACTGTTCGAGTCACACGAAGCGCTGTTGGAACAGTTCCTTTGCTCGACTGACCTCGAGCCCAATTGTCCAAGATACATGGTGTATTTCACTGTCATGCATCTATTGAACAATAACGGATCGCAGGTAATCTTTTCAGCTTTGTCGCTTTCACACTTGGCTCCTCCAATAAGTTCTGGCTGGTTAGTACACGCATAGCATTCAAGAGCTGTCAAAAATAAGAAAAACAATAATGATAGAAAATAAAATAAATAGGCCATTTCCGAGTTACCTTGTGCTTCTGTTTTAAAACGAGTCTTCGTGCAAAATCTTTCATAAATGAAAATGAGTTTGATTTGCATGAAAATGAACCTGTAGGCGTTACACATTTTCATATGAGGAAGGAAGCAGGTATTAATTCTTAACAAAATTTATGGCAAGTTGAAACTCGAAAGATTTTAAATTTTTATTGAAAATGAAAACTGGCATTTCTTATACAGGTAAACAAATACATCCAAACTCAAAAGGAAAAAAATTGTATAAATTTTTGAAGAAACGGACTTTTAATGAATTCACAAAACAGAAGATGGACACACGATTAAGCAAACATGTTCAGGACAAAAACAAACAAAATGGCTCCATAGCTTGCAACCAATCCAAAGGCCTTACCTGGTGGCTGGGGTTTTGCTGTTGTCTCTGGGATCTTGTTACACAGGTCGCCGTCACAACAGTCAGCTGAACAATTGGTCAAGTTTCCCGTCTGGTTGACCAGTTTGCAGACTGTAATTAGAAGAACGAAAGATTTTCAATAAGCCACCTCTGAGTTGCTTTTCCGCTCTGTTTCAAAAATGAGTCCTGGTGCACAACCCTTCATATGGAAATGAATTTGATTTGCAAGATAATGAAAAATAATGAAAATTTTTGAAAATGTAAGGTGGCTCTGAACCCTACATTCAGAATTTTTTTAAACTTTACCAAAAGTTGCGTCTTATCATGCTTATGAAAAGTTGATAATGTAAAAAACGGTTAACCGTGCCGTTTGTGACTAAATAATAACCGTTCTTGCGCTTCTCGGCTCGCTTTGCTCGCCGAAGTTTTCACCGTCCTCGCCGGGAGCCTGTTCGCAGGCTAACCAAATAGTAACTATTTTTGCACTTACTATAGAACTGACTGTTCGGGTCACACGAAATGTTGTTGGAACAGTTCCTTAGCTCGAGTGACCTCGAGCCCAATTGTCCAAGAGACGTGGTGTATTTCACTGTTATGCATCTATCGAGTAACCCTAACGTATCGCAAGTAATATTCTCAGCTTTGTCCCTTTCACAACTGTTTCCTCCAGGAAGTCCTGGCTGGTTGGTACACGCATAGCATTCAAGACCAAATGCTGTCAAAAATTAAAAAAAGATAATAATAAAAAATAAAATAAAATAAAATAAAATAACATAAAATAAAATAATAAAAAAAATAAAATGAAATAAAATAAAGTAAAATAACATAAAATAACATAAAATAAAGTAAAGTAAAATAACACACAGAGGCAAAAGGCAACTCGAAAATTGCCTATTAATAAAATTTAATAAATAAGTAAATAAATGAATGATTAAATAATAAATAAATAAATAATTGACCTCAGAATGTTTTTCTCCTGTCCAGGATACTTTTTTCCTACAGGAGTTAGTCCACTGCCTAATAACTGTCTAAATTGGTAAACAGTATGACTCGAAACAGAATAACCTCTGATCTTGTTATCACCCAACTTTCATGAAGTGATTTCGTGAACAGGAAAAAGGAAAAACTTGTTGGCACGAATTTTAGGATATGTTTGGAATCTATTTGGCATTTGTTTATTTGGCACTGTTTTCATTTGATACTTACTCAAGCGATATCTTTTCATATTTGATTAACTAGGTATTTCATTTATTCGGGACTTTCTCCTGCCACCTATAGAACTGATTATGACGGGACATATTCCCTGATACTCTTTGAGTACGTCGGTTAATTTGCTTGTAGGAGAAGATTTTTCTATTTTTATTATTTTTCGTTCGTTTTGGGGAATTGAACGTATTAGTGGTATTTACTAAATCTTGGTTTTGAGTAAACAATTGTTAAGAGATCGTTTTAGGGGCTTATTATCGTGAAAATTATCAAAGCGTTAATAAACCACCAAGAAAAAGAATAATGTTCTTTTACGAAATGTTCAGAGCTCCGTTGTCTGCTAATTAAACCGGCCATCCAAGGTTATTGGAAAAGAAAACATCAAAAAAAAAATGCTAATAGCTTTTGAAGGAAACTCGTTTATGCTTTATTTATTTTTAGATAGATTTATTCAAAATACTCTTATCTATACTATGGGAGTTTTGCGTGTTTATCGTAGCTGATCGTGTTTGAGTAGCTTTTCAATTTATGTGTTTCCGTCTGTTTTGACTTACAAAAGATTTTACAGTAACAGAACCATGTTGGAACTGTTCATTTAAATGTTCTGGAATTTGTTGATCAGTTTTTAAAATAAACTTAAAAGTTTAGTTAACGATTAGTAATGTCTTCGGACGACCTAACTTAACTTCAATCTTCTGGCTAAACTCTGAGGAACGATTTGGCTGAACATATTCTACAAACACGTATTTTTGCCATTTTTATTATGGGTTTACTTTAACCTGTAAATCTGGACAAACAACCAAACTTCAACGAACTCTATTTCCGTTGGCATTTACGTTACTTTCATTTAGGACAACATTACATTTAGCTAACATTCAATCCGAAAACGTAACTCCAGCTGGCGTGCCTCCCGAGAAGCAGTATCCTTAAAGATAAAAATTTATTTTAGATTGTGGCGAGGTCACACATTTATGCATGCATAATGAGGAGTTTTCTGAACCTTATTAAAATCTTGCTGACCTCTACATTTCTAACACCTCCGAGATCCTTTCTTCTCAATCCGAGAGTTTAAACGTAAATTTCGATGCTCTTTCAGTCTAAAACTTAATTCACTTTTCATCAAGACCTACACCAAGGTCATGGCCAGCTTTCCGACTGTTTACTTTCTTTTTTTAAGCATTCCTTTGCATAGAAATCTCTTGAAATAGGAATTTTTGCACAAGTAAACATACCGAGATATGATAATGAAATCTCTTATTTTGGGCAACTCGACGAGTTGAAATCACCTTCTTATCCATAACAAAGATATTTGATTTAGCGACTTTTAGTCAATTAGGTTTCTCTGACATAAATATGAGTGCCAAATTAAATTGTAAAGGACTTGTAAGATCTTGAAGACACTTGGAAGACTTGGGAAACCTTTGTACGCCTGACGAAAATATCCAATAAATTATACAGTGTTGTGACACAAAATCTGCTTCGCGACAAACTGAAAGAGAAGATTTACGTTTCCTTGACACGATACTTTCAGCGTAATCCTTTACAGTTTTAGCACAGCAAGGTAAACGATACAAAACACTGGTTGCAACTGATCAACAAATACTTGAGGTGATAACAGAAGTACATTTGCTAAAGATAAGTAGGTTCTGGAACATTTTTCATTTTTGACGTCGGTCTAAGTTTTCAATAAACCTGGACCAACATGGGTCAGTTTGCAAAATTTGCACTCGATCGTAACAAAGAAGAAAGCGTATGCCTGTGCTATGCTATTTTAATTTCCTAAATCTCTCGGTCTGTGATGATTGCCCTAGGCATTATGCATTTTCGCCAGACAGCAGTCTCTGATATTGATTTTGTAGACACAAGTTAAATTGGTTGAATGATTCCATACTAAGTCCTTCAGGTATTAGACCACGTAGAAACCGAAATCATTTCCGTCTTGGATTCTTATGATGGGAAAACTAGACCTCGAAACGATTACAATGAAACCACTTTGCAATCATCGGTGACAGAATGAATTATAAAAGATGCAAAGACGAAAATCAGTGAGAAAGACGAGAGTGCAAGAATGGCATAAACACTGAGTAGAACACGAGAATATGTCTCGGGCTGTTCAGGTAAGGTTTTTGTCAGGGAAGAACAGACCTGTATCAAGGTTAACTGAGTAGCGCTGACTTCGACATGCTTTCTGGGTTGCTTTGCCAACGTCGAGTCTTGACCGAGTGTGAATTTTGTCTTGTGGACTCCTCTACTTACTAGGGAGCTTAAGCAAACCACGACGACGATGACAACGAAAACGTCACCAGAAAAAGGTTTAACGAGCAAAACAATAGCTGTGCACGTGCGTTTTGAATCTTTGTACATTTCTTTGCCGTCCTCTGCAAACCAACAACGTGAAATGACCAA